TTTGAGACAGGGTCTCGCTATGCAGTTCAGGCTGGCCTTGAGCTCACTTTGTAGCCCAGGCTGGTCTCGAACTCTCAAGGATCCTCCCGCTTCAGCCTCCCGAGCGCTGGGCTTACAGGCATGAGCCACCACGCCCAGCAAAAAACTGGTTTTATGAGGCCAGTGACAGTGAAAAACCTTTAGCCTGCCTCTGGAATGAAAGAGAAAAGATTCAAATTATCAGCATCGGGAATGATGGAAGTGAATTACGCATCCTACTTGTGTTAAAGGGATGCTCAACTTTGTCAGTGAACTCTGTAATTTAGGTGATATGAGGAACTCTGAAAGACCTACTTAGTAAAGGTGATGTGAGCTGGGGGAGGTGCTGTGTTGCTGTAACCGCAGCCCTTGGGAAGCAGAGGCAGGAGGACTGCAAGTCTGAGTTCCATCTGAGCCCCTTGTTGAGACCCTCTGAAAGTTAGAAAAGCCGGGGGGGGGGGTAGTTCAGTGCAAAGGCCCTGGGTTCTGTCCCGTATGGGGTGTGTGTGTGTGTGTATCCTCACATCTATTAAAGAAACTGAATTTGTAGTTTGAAGTCTAAACAAAGGAAACTCCTGGTCCAAAGGGCTTCACTGGTAAATTATACCACACATGTAAGAAGAAGCAATGCCACTTGGTTAGGGCCGGGAATTTAGCTCAATGGCATAAGCACCTGCCTGGCAAGTGCGAGGTCATGAGTTCGATCACTGCTACCAGTGAAGCTGTGAAAAACTTCTAAAACTAAGCCTAGAGGTCAGTAAGGTTGCGGGATTCAAGGTCAATATATGAAAAAATTACTCATATTTCAATGTGTGATCCAATTCCAAAACCCATTTACAGCAGCATCCTCCACACCTGAATTGTGAAGGATGCCTTTGCTGACAGGGGCGCGAGGTCTTTTCGTTTAAAAGCAGTGAGCTGTGGTTTGGAGGGGTTGAAGACGTAAGCAGAGACCTGTACCCTGTCCGCGGATCAGAAGGGGTCACAGGAAGATGACGTGGTGTTGTCAAAGCATCTCCCCGAATTGGTCCGCAGCTGGGAGGCCAAAGTCCGGCCCTTGGACACACACACCACGGGGGGTTCCTGAGCTTTTGAGGGCAAATGGGTGAACTGTCCCCGCGGAGGAGGGCAGGCCCCTATGGGCGGTGCAGCCTTTGCTGATCAGGGAGTTGGGGAGTAGTCCCTAGAATCGTTTTCGGGAAGTGGGATGGAGCTGGGAGCCAGGGCTGAGGAGGACAGGGGTCCCTGAGGCGGGCGGGCTGGGTGGGCCCATGTGGGAGGCAGAGGGCCCCCCAGAAGTTTGCTAGCTGTTATCTCCAAGGCAGCGGGGTGAGGGATGACTCTTACTGCCTTCTTTCTGTTTTCCTGTTTTTGGCAAATATGTTTTTTTGCAGAGCACTTATTTCCAGTGTGCTCAGAGAAACGACAGTTCCCTGGTGGATCCCCATGGGAGTTTTGGTTTTGCATTTCTGTAGAGTTCGAATATTTTGCAGAAAGCTTGTGCTTCTTTTATACTCAAAAACAAAAAGCAGGCGGGCGGGAAGATGTCACCTGTGGCTAACGCAGGGGCCCTGCTCCCCATCTCAGGAGAACGCCTGGTGGGACCATTTGTCAACAACCCAGACCCTGGTGCTGGGGACAGGCGAGCAAACCCACACACCTGACGTGTCACGCTCTCCTCAGACCTGCGCCTTCGGTGGACACGGACATGTGTACCGCCTCCAGTCGTCTTGGGACATCTGGCAGGAGACTTAACTCCTTAATTCTGTGAAGACGGTTTGGGACCTCTAATTACTTCATTGAAAAAAGGCAGACACTTCAGGCCGCCGTGGTGTTTGGGAATTAATCTCTAAAGCCTGACAGTGAACATTAAATTCAATTAGGGAGAACAACTGGCAGAGATTCATTGCTCCTTTGCCCCGGGTAGCTTGGCGCAAGGCCGCGTGGCCGCATTGATTCCCACGCTGCTGTCACCATCAGGCCAGAGCTGTGTGTGCGCCTCTCTTCTGAGGGGACTTAGCCTGCGGTTCAGGTTCCCTTGCTCTGAGTCTGGGGCTCCTGTCCTGGAGCCCAGCAGGCCCCCGTGCTGCGCTTGGCCTTGAGATCATGGTCCTTTCGGGACCGCCATGCACCCCTGGACTTCTGTCCCCTTGCTGTCTTCTCCCCCTGCTCCTCCTCTTCTCCTCCTCCTCCTCCTCCTCCTCCTCCTCCTCCTCCTCCTCCTCCTCGCTGCCTCCTTTTTCCTCCTCTGGAGATTCATCTCTCACCTCCTCCTCTCTCCCTGCTCCTCCCCTCCTGGTCCTTCCATTCCCTCCTTCTGCCTACCCTGGACCCAGGCACTTTGGACCACGGTGGCGCCTTCCCCAGCTCGGCCTCCGTGGGCCTTTCACCGCTGAACATCGTCCAGCGACCCTTTGTGTCCTTGGAGGGGAGCCGCTGGGCTCCTGCCTGCCTGTCCAGTTGGCTGCCACAAGGCCGGGTCCTCCCAGAGGCTGAGGGCTCTGTGTCGTCTGCCCTCTCCTCCTGCCCTTGCTTCTGGAAGCTGCTTTGGCAGCTGCCTGTGTGTCCCCCAGCCCCGGCCTCCCCCTGCTCCCCATTACTCGGGAGCCGGCCCTTCCCCGCCGGCCGGTGGGGTGCTCTGCACCCATGGCTCACGGCTGCGCACCCGCTCGAGCCACGCTGGCCTGTAGTCACCTCTCCCTGCCTACAGCCTCCACCCCGGCCCAGTTCCCTCTCGTCCCCCTCCAGTCTTTCTCCTCCCTTCCATCTTCCTGGCTTCCTTTCCAGCCCCTTCCGCTGGCCTTGGGAACCCCTCTGTGTTACCTTTTAACACGAGGCCTCTTCCCTGCCTGGCCTCTGGGCCTGTCTCCCCAGGGAGGCGGCAGTGTGCAGGCTCTTTGAAGCCATGGCTTCGGGCTTCTCCTTTGCTGCCCAGTGGCACTGGGCTGTTAGCAGGCTCTGGGAAGTGCTTGCTGGGTGAGCGGGGAGGTGAGAGAACATCACAAAGCATTCGGGCATCTTTTCTCCCTTTCTCCTCTCCTCTCCTCTCCTCTCCTCTCCTCTCCTCTCCTCTCCTCTCCTCTCCTCTCCTCTCCTCTCCTCTCCTCTCCTCTCCCCTCCCCTCCCCTCCCCTCCCCTCGCCTCCTTTCTTTCTCCTTGTACAAGAAATACCACTCAGTGTCACAGTTCCGGCTCTTCCGGTCCCAGAAATGACAACTGTCCCATGCATGTTTTTATAGTCTCACTAAAAATGCCTGGATACACAACACAGGACTTTTGTTTTGTATGAGTATTTTTAAAAATTGTGGTGAAGCCGCATGGCTGGGTATGCCTGTGATCTCAGCTCTCGGGGAGGCTGAAGCAGGAGGATTGCAGGTTCTAGCCCAGCATGGATAACTTAGCCAGCCCTTATGTCAAAATGAAAAAATAAAACAGGGCTAGAGATGTAGTTCAGTGAGAAGGTCTGAGTTCAGTTTCCAGTACCCCTCCCAAAGTAATGAAACGCAAGGTAACTTTTACTGTCCCAACCGCTGCTAAGCATGTAGCTTGGTGGCAGTAAGTACGTTCCTGTTGGGGCGCCACCATCACCGCCACCTTCCTGCACAATACTTTTTATCTTGCAGAGCTGAGACTCTGTCCCATACGCAGTTCCCACCCTCATCCCTCTGGCAACAATCGTCCTGCTTCCTGTCTGTGCGATTTGGCCATTCAAGGGCTTCTGTGAGTGGTGCCCTAGAGTGTGTGGTAGGCCACAGGGTTGGATGAGGAAGTCTGCAGAGGTGTCTGCATGCCCGAGAGTGAAGGATTCAGCCCAAGGTCTGGAGCTCACTGCAGTGTGCCATGTAAGTCTGCACCAGCAGGCCGATGGGTCTGCGACAGGAGGCTGAAGAATCTGTGCTGAAAGTCTGAGGATCAGGCAGAAGCCGAGGAGTCTGGCCTGGAAGCCGGGGATGATGTCCAGCCAACGGTGAAGGCCGGAGCTCCTCCAGAGAGCAGAACCTCCTCTGTCCTCCTTCCCTGATACACTGTCCAGCTGCTGAGCCTCCCTGGGGCCTCAGATAGACACAGTCCATCAACCACAACAATGTGTAACATCTTTTTGAGATCCTGCTTTCCATTTTGGGGCTCCATAGCTACAGCTGGAACTGCTGGATCTTGCACACTTGTACGTCTAGTTGTCTGAGGACCCGCCTTGCTGTTTTTCTACGATGCTGCTCTGTTTCCCACCCCCTCCAGCGCCCCCCGAGGGCTCCAGACTCCATCCTTGCCCGCTCTTTTTTTTTTAATTTGAAATTTTTTTTTTTATTTAAGAGAGTAAAACACAGAAAAGGAACACAGCAAAAGAGACAAACGACAATCCCAAAACAATAACAATGTAGGCTTTCAAAGCAAGATGATAGGAATTTAACCATGGTTGCTACATCGCACATTGTTACCTTCAAAAGAGTTGCTTAGATTACCATATTTAGGCATGTAAAATTGATCTAATCATATGAGTATCAACTGTTCTTTTCTCCTTTTTTTTTTGGTACTGGGGATCGAACTCATGACCTCGCACTTGCCAGGCAGGTGCTTATGCCACTGAGCTGAACCCCCAGCCCTAACTGTTCCTTTCTAAGAACTAATAGACTTAGTAGTAGAGTCATCTTAGCTGCCTCATGCATATATATATATATATATATATATGCATAAGTATATATAGTATATAAATATATATGTATATACTTATAAGTACTTATATATACTATATGCTTATAAGCAAGTACTTATACTTACTGCTATATATACTATATACTTATAAGTATATAATACATAAGCATCTATATTATATATATACTAATGTATTGTTTTTCCTTTTCCCTTCCTTCTTTCCTTCTTTCCCCTATCCCAGTTACTTTCCCCCTTTGAGCAGTTTCTTATCCTTATGCAATATTTGTTGTAAATTTTGGATCATATTTGCTCTTTCACTTTCTTACCCTGAGGAGACAATATGGTATTTACACACGTGAGTTTGATTTATTTCGCTTATGAGTGTGGTCTCAAGTCGCATCCATTTATTTATAAATACCTCAGTGTGATCGTTCCTCGTGGCTGAGCAGCACTCCGCTGTATAAAATGCCACTTCTTTTTCATCCATCCCGCATCGGCCTTGTCCGCCCTCGCTGTTTTGTGCTCTTTTGATAGTGGCTGTACTAGCACAGTGGCACCGTGGTTTACAAACTTAACTCTTCCCACGGTTCTGGTCGCATGCTGAACCAAATCAAACTCAGTGGTTAGGTTCCGTGTTGACTTTGATTGGAGGGAATTTGATTCGGTTCTCTTCCCATTGGGTTTGTGACCAGAACTGTGGAAAGAATTACGTTTGTGAACTGAGGCCCATGGAGGTGTGAAGTGGTGTTTTGTGTGTGTTTTAAATAAAATGGCATCACAGTTTATATGCAGCTTGGTCTGTGTACTCAAAATTTTGTTACTGCTTAAGCATGCTAACCTTAGAGATGCAGTTAATTCATTTGACTTTATTTCTTCTGTTTACGTCATATGTATGCATAGTTTTGCAGAAAAAACCCCCCAGCAACCCAAGCTCAGCTTGACTTCTGTGAATTTGCCCTCCACTTAGAAGTCTCCTGGTCGTTTCTTCTGTTATCTTTGTCCATGTTTTTAAGTGTGATTACTGCTCCTTCTTGGCTTTCCGGCATGAGCCCTTGCAGCTGAGCCTGCGGTGTGAGAGAAACGAACAGAGCTCTCTTAGCACGCCTCCCCGCTCCTCCCGACCTTAGGAGACATTTGCATATTCCCAGGAAACCTGCGCCCAGATCTCTGATCTTTTGCATTTTGAGAACCTCAGGACTTGGCAGCTTGGGTTTTTTCTCATCTTTAGTGGGAAGCTTTCCCCTAGGACTTGGTTTGTTGAAGTGTGAGCCTGGGTTTCATCTGAGTTGCTCCCTGATTAAATGAGATGGAGCTTAGACTTCCTGACATCCCGGGAAGCGGCTCCGGGAAGCTCCCTGGCTGGACCCTGTCTCCAGGAAGCCCTGGCTACAGGCTGTGCACCTCTTACCTCCTCTGTCCCCACCCCTGCCCTGGGTGGGGCTTTTATTAATCAGCTGCACTTTATGGAGGGGGACACTGAGGCCCAGATCGTAGCGCTGCCATGCCAGGTCCCTGGACGGGCAGGTAGCATTGTCAAGGGGCGGTGTTTGGCCCCTTGTCTCAAAGTGACAGTGAGGAAGGGGACCGGCACAGACAGCTCCCCTGCCTGCCAGGCCTGGCCAGCTGTTCGATTCCTACCAGCTCTGTGTAGGGGTGGGGTGGGGTGGGGCTGCTGCAGGCGGGGGACACTGAGCCAGGGTATGCTGTGCCAGTCTGCACACACCCATGGCCCTGCCCCTCGGAGTGCCAGGTTCTGTACTTGGGCTCCTAAGTCACTTTCAGAACCTGTTCTGTGTACACAGCCTCTCCCCGCCAGCCTCGTTCCCCCACGGGAAGCTGGAGTGGGAGCCAGGGCAGGAACTCAGCTGCCTAAGGCAGGGGTTTGCTCTTTGCCAGCTGCTCAGCAGGTGTGGCAGGCTTCTCTGTGAATATCACCTGGCTGAGTGCCATGTCCCCTACTGGACAGATGACAGGGATGCAGGCCAGAATGGGACTGGACTGCGCATGCCGAGGGAGCAAGACTGCCACGGCCAGCAGGTAGGAAGCAGGTGCAGGCAGCTGGGTCCTCAGCCAGAGACAGGAAACGCCTTTTGTGACTCCAGGAAAGTCAGCCTTTCCATTTCTGCAGGGTGAAGTTTCCCATGGAGATAGGGTAAAATAACGGGGATCCACCTGCACTGTGAGCCCCCTTCCCCTGCAGAGGGGTGGCACTGGGCCAGCAGGTCAGCGCGAGCCCTTGCTGCCTGTCTGCCTTTGCCTTGCAGGTGTGGGACGCCGTGGACTCAGGGCGCTGCCTGCAGACCTACTCCGTGCACAGTGAGGCGGTGCGGGCGGCCCAGTGGTCTCCCTGTGGCCAGCGAATCCTCAGCGGAGGCTTTGACTTCGGCCTACACCTGACGGACCTTGAAACAGGTGCGTTGCTCTGCCGTCCCCAAGGGCAGCTGGACCAGTCCCTGGGGAGTCCTAGGCCACAAGGGGTCCTGCTGTTGGCAGGAGCTGTGGGACTGCCTGCCGTGTGAGGGGTTTCTAGGTGTCTGCTTTTGGAAGCGTGGCTCCTGGAGGACCGCAGTGGCCCTCTGCCAGCCGGCACTGAGGACAGAGCCCAAGGTTGTCTCAGTCCAAGCTGTGAGGCTGGATAAAGAGGTGGCTGTTTAATCAACTTCTGACATGCAATTTGTATGGGAATAGATTTAACTTGATCGTGGTGTCTTTGGTTGGCATCAGTTAGGAATTCCTGTCAATTCATTACCTATGAAAGCTGGAAGAATGATTCCAGCCCATCAGGAAAGTCCTCAGACGAGTTCTGCTTTAATGGCCCTGCTGAAAAGGTGTCTGGGCAAGATGGATTTGCCCTGGGTGACTCCTAAGCAACCCCTTGGCAAGCAGGCGGGAAGGGAGAAGTCCATAGAAGGAGCTCTCCTGTGCACGGGCGCAGCTCGTGAGCCTGCAGCCTTGGCCCTGAGCGGACCAAACAGGACAGGTGTGGGACTGGGAAGGGGTGCTGTCTGCCTCCCAGTCCTGCCTGCTCTCTGTGCCCGCATGGCTTTCTGCTCCTGGGCTTTCCTTGGTGGCTTTGCTGCCGGGTACATCCAAGGGGAGGAGGAAGGACTGGGGTTCACACCAGTGTCCTCAGGCTGCCTCCTGCCTGCTGGCGGTGCGGTGGCAGCCCTGGGGTTCCCCAGGATCTGGGGAGACAGAAGTGCTCACTGCCAGATCCAAGTAGGCACAGACAGGAAATGCAGAGGGCAGACTGGTCACTTCCGGCTGTGAGACCACCTCCTGTGCTGTCTTCCCCTCCTGGACCCTCCTGGACCACCGGGGTGGCCTTGCAGCTCCTTTGTGCCCATGTACACTCAGGAGCAGGCTGACCAGGCGGATGGTCGTGGGGACCCTGGGGTGCCAGCGACTGTGCTTAGGCTCTGCCCGTGGTGCGGCCAGTTCTCATCAGTGCTGGCAGCGACTGTTTCCATTTTATGGAGAGGAGGAGAAGGGACCTGCTCAAGGCTGCCCCGTGGTGCGCTGCTGGCTGGCAAAGCCGGAGCTGTGTGTGCAGCTGTGGGTGCCCTCCCTGCAGTAGACAGGGCTTCCTTCCCCTGGGTACATCGCTGGCCGAGTGGCCTCGTGGGCCTCCTCCACCCTGTGAGGTCTCCAGGGCCCAGGATTTGGTGTCATGTGTGATGGTAAAGATTAGGCTGCTGATGGCAGGAGTGGCCTCTGACTTCAGAGTGCGTGTCTGCAGCCATCCCTCCGGTCTCCTCAGAGACAACCTCAGGCTGCAGTGGTAGGGCTGGAGGCAGAGCACTGAGCTTAGAAAATCAAGGAAGACTTCCGGAGGTCTGAGCCAGGAAGTAAGTGGCCAGAGAACCAGGGAAGGAGAGGTTCATTTGAGGGGAAGTCAGGCGGGTTCTCAGCAGTCAAAAGCAGGGCCACAGTTGCATCCACATGGTATGTATGGAGACCCAGGCATCCTGTCCTGTTGGGGTGCAGGAGGCTGGGGGACCCAAGAGGGCATCTCTACCCCGTGCTCACATGACCACATGTGGGTGCCACTGTGCAGGGGGAGTGGCAGGTGAGGCCCTGGCACCTGCACCATAGCTTCTCAGACGTGGGTGACATCAGTCATCTGATGGCATGAATAGGCTCCTCATGGCTCTTTGCCATTGTCTGTTTTCTCCGTGAGCAGATGTTACACACAGGCCTCTGTGTGTGTGTGTGTGTGTGTGTGTGTGTGTTGGGAAGGGTGTGTTCTGAAACCCCTGGGTGTTCCCACAGTGCGGTCACAGCAGGTGGTAGGGACTCGCTGATCTGTGGATGGGGGGAGCTGTGGCTTGTTTGTTTGTTTTTGAGACAGGAAACAATGCTGTGTATCCCCAGCTGGCCTCAAACTTGGGGCGATCCTCCTGTCCCAGCCCCCGAGTGCTGGGATCACAGGTGTGCACACCAGCCCATGGCTTGGTTTGTGCTTGGGGCAGGTGTCCCATGTGACTGGCCTCCCCTGTCCAGCTGTGTGGGGCTGCGCTGGAAGACAGTGCTGACCTGAGCTGTGTGATCCTCCAGCGCTGGCCTGCGGGATGGGGACAGGCAGAAGACATGCCTCTGCCCTGGGGTATTGCTGTCCAGGTAGGGGTGACTGAGGATACCCCACTCCACACCTCAGCTGGGAATGGCCACTGCACTGGGTTCAGCTGTTGAAGGAGGATTTTGTTCATGATGTGGCCACCGGCTGTGTACCTGCTCTGCGCAAGGCCTGGTGCTGGCACCGTGTGAGTGTCAGGTGTCCTCGGTCCCCAGGGAAGCCTGGCTGGGCACCTGGCTGGGCCTCTCCTGCTGAGTGGTACTTGGCTCCCTCCCGCCTCCTGGTGCTGCAGGAGTTAGGTGAGGACAGCCTTGCCTTGGTGGCCCTTGAACCTTCTTCAGTCGTCCAGAGCCGGGCCATCAGGGTCCCTGGGCGAGAGGATCGCCGCCTTGCCTGCCCTGCTCGCACACTGTGCTGCACCCCCTTTTGTGCACGGAGGCCGGGGTGGGACTTCTGCAGCCTCCGGCCAGCCTGGTCCCCATGTGCGAGGTGGGCTTCTCGGCCCTCGGGGCTGCAGCTTTGTCACTTCATTCTAATTAGGGCTCCCTGCCTGGATCAGGCCGCACAAGCACCCTTGCTGCGGGTGCTGGGAATCCGTCACTTGGCCCCCATTGTCCTTAATGGGCATCTGCCTCCAAGGCCATTCATCCTGGTGTCCTCAGTCAATACGCTTGGAAATCTGTGGATTCGGAAACGTCAGTGCCTGGCCTGGAAGATGAGGGCCGGCCATGGTTTTTCTCGTTAATTTATAGCTCAGCAGCCGTTGGCTTGTGGGGGAGCCGTGAATCAACACTTAATAAAGCCGATCTCCGATTAATTACCTTTGGGGCTATGTTTCCACCCCAGTCTTCCTAACAGCGTTTCCGGGGCCTTAGGTTGAGGTGGCCTTGGGGAACGTGCGCCATGGCTGTCAGGGTCCCCGGGGCCCCCAGCCCCGTGAGTCCCCTGATCCTGAATCAGCCTGTCTCCTCAGCACTGGCTGGGGGCTTCTAAGGTTTCACAGCCGTCGGTCTGTCCCATCCTATGTGGCCATCCTGTCTTCCTGTCTGTTGCATAGGTGTGGTGGGCACCCCCAGCAGGCGAGTGACATGTGCCTTCCCCTGCCCGTGCTCTGTGCCTGGCGCTGGACCACCTAGGGCATGACTGATGCCAACCGCCGAGCCAGGGTGCTGCCAGGAGCCCGGCTGCCGGTTGTTTCCCCGTGGAGGACCCTAAGTGTCCCCCGGAGTGTGTGACTGGCCAAAGGATGCTTCTCCAGGTTCCGGCAGCTGTGCCCAGCAGGGAGGAGGAGCCTCAATAGCCTCAGGACGTTTGGCACAAGAAGGTGAGAAGCGGCAACATGCAGACCACAGTGAAGAGTGCCCAGGCTGTGGGAGGAACCCGCACCTGCTGGTGCTCACTGCGTGCTGAGCCAATGCTGTGCCTCCCGCTCCTCGTGCAGCTCAGTGGGCCTCGCTGGCCTCCATCCGTCTGTCAGGAGCCCACGCTGTCTGAGGCCTGGGTGCTGGGGACTGCTGCAAAGCATCCCGAGTTTTTCTGTTTGCTCCTTAAGCCCTGTGGGGCCTTTGCTCCCGGAGGGAGGCTCAGCGGGCTCCGTGACCCAGGAAGCCTGAGCTGGCCATGTCCTCAGCTGGTGCCCTACAGGGGCCCCTCCGTCTCCTGCCTCCTGTGCAAGGGGCCTTCCCTCTTCTGCATGCCCAGGCCTCCTTCTTGGGGTCTGTAGTCAGGCTCCCCTGTGGGTAGGGTCTGCGTTCCTCCCTCCACAGTGCCCCATACCCACCTGGCCTCACTCGGCTCTTCCACCCAGCAGTAGAGGGAAGAGCCGGCCTGCCTGGTGGGTGGCAGAGGTTTTCCTGCCTCTTTACCGACTGGATCATGGCGTCCTCCCCTGGACGGCAGGAGTGGCTCCCAGCACGATTGTATTGTCGCCTTTGGGCAGCCTAGTGGAGTGGCCTCTGGCCGTGTGCGCGCTGGTGTTGTGGTTCAGTAATGCTCGGCACTCTTTGGAGGCCAGGCCACTCTGTGGGCTGGTTCTGGAGCCCAAGCCCAGTCACAGAAACAAGCCGCCAGCACCATATCAGCCCTGGGGCACCTCAGGCTTGCAAGTCAAGAGCTCCTTTTTTTAATTTTAAATTTATGTTTGCAGTTTAATAATGTTTATGTTCATTTTTAGGGGGTAGGTACATGTACTTAACATATCTTCTTTTCATTTTTAGTTTTTAAAATTTTTATTTAAACAAAATAAAACAGCATAAAGCCAACCAAAACAAAACAGTGAAAGTGATACAGGACTTCAAAACAGGATACTAGGAAATCCACGGTGGCTACCGTAATGCCTCTTGTTATCTTCAAAATTGCTGCTTATACCATCAGATGTAGTAAAATCAAAACAGAACAGAATAAAACCAGTCAAAACATTAGAGAAAACAAAACAAAACAAAACAGTGAGAATCATATTGGATTTCAAAAACAAGACGTAAGGAAACCCCCCATAGTTGCTATATTGCATATTTTTATCCTCTAAATGGATGCTCAGACTGCTGACTTTAGGCCTGCAAAGCCAATAAGACAATTCAAGCATTAAGCTGTTTTGTACCTCAGTTGCTGTCAACTCAGCCTGTGATCCTCCGAAGCAGCTGGTTGCTTACAGGGTGGAGGAGGCGCTTCTTGTCTCCCAGCCCGTGCCCTGGCAGGCTCAGGGGAAGGGTGAATTGGCATCTTATTTCTCTTCCCAGTCCTACGTGGCTACTAATAGCTCACAGATACTTAACATACGTTAAGTGTTTTCTGTCTTTTTTTTCCCTTTATTTGGAGACAGGGTCTTCTATGTTGTTCC